AAGTCTGTGGACATAACATTGAATAGCTGCCATCTTGTGTTGAAAAGGATGATTTGATGATGTTGGTATCATATGGTCAGTTTGAGTAGGTTTTCTGAATATTGAAAATTCTAGTGTAGGCAAAGAAGAAAAGGAGGAAGTATTCTTTTTGATAGTTAGGTCTAAAAAGTTGATAATGTTGTTGCTTTCTACTTCTAAGGTAAAATTAATTGCAGGATGTAGATTATTAATTATTGACAAAATATTGTGAGGTTCTGAAGGTGGGCCTTCTATAAAGGCTAAAATGTCATCCACATATCTGTACCATAGGATTATTTGTGGTTGAGAATGAACAAAGTTAGTTTCGAGAGAGTCTAGAAAAAGATCTGCAAGTAGAGGAGATAAAGGATTTCCCATTGCTAAACCCTCTGGTTGTCTATAAATTTTATCGTTAAAGATAAAGAAATCTTGGGAAAGACAAAATTGGAGTAGAGAAGTAATTTGTGACACCATTTATTTTGTCCCAAGATTTCTTTATCTTTAACGATAAAATTTATAGACAACAGAGGTTTAGCAATGGGAAATCCTTTATCTCCTCTACTTGCAGATCTTTTTCTAGACTCTCTCGAAACTAACTTTGTTCATTCTCAACCACAAATAATCCTATGGTACAGATATGTGGATGACATTTTAGCCTTTATAGAAGGCCCACCTTCAGAACCTCACAATATTTTGTCAATAATTAATAATCTACATCCTGCAATTAATTTTACCTTAGAAGTAGAAAGCAACAACATTATCAACTTTTTAGACCTAACTATCAAAAAGAATACTTCCTCCTTTTCTTCTTTGCCTACACTAGAATTTTCAATATTCAGAAAACCTACTCAAACTGACCATATGATACCAACATCATCAAATCATCCTTTTCAACACAAGATGGCAGCTATTCAATGTTATGTCCACAGACTTCTTAATATCCCTATGTCTCAAGAAAATTACAATAAAGAAATCTCCATCATTAAACAGATAGCAAACAACAATGGTTTTCCTTCTACTACTGTTGATAAAGTCATTAGAAAATCTATACTCAAAAAGAGACTAAACCAAGCTTTTAATGTTGATAACAAATCCAACACTACTTCCATATATAGATCCTTAACTTACTTAGGACCAATTTCAGAAAAAATTTCAAGAGTACTTGTTAATAAAATTAATGACTTAAACATCTCCTTTAAAACCAAATATAACATCAAGTCCATCTTCAGCAAGACCAAAGACAAAGTTGACAAACTAAACAGAAGTGGTATTTACAAGCTGTCCTGTGGTGATTGTAATATGACTTATGTAGGTAGAACAATGAGAACTCTGAATCAAAGAATCAAAGAACACCTCAATAACCCAGAAAAATCAAACTTTGGATATCACATTAAATTTAATAATCATTCTTTTTCTCCTTCTGAAAACAGTAAAATTTTACACAACATTCCTAATAAAAACTTTAGACTCATGAATCTCTTGGAAGATCTAGAGATATCCAAAGAAATGAAAATAAACCCTGATTGTTGCTTAAACACACAAATCAACCTCAATTGCAACTATAAACCTCTTTTTAAATTATTATGGGAGACTTTAGAGGAAGAAGGGTGACCTCATGCAATCTTGTTATATATTTTTCATACTTTTATTTTTTAAACAAATTTTAAACTTTATTAAAATTTACAACATTTTGTAATTCATTTGACAGTTGTTCTTAATTGAAACATGAAAATACATTCTTAAAAAAATTTTTTATGCAAAGTTCTTACAATTTTCCATCAAGACATACAATTCTTAATACACTTAAGTATCAGATAACATAACATTAATACCAGGTTTCTTCTTTATAGTGTTGTTGAACAATTTGAGCCCTTGTTCCTTAAGGATAGCTGTCAGATTGAACATACATTGACCTTGAGCAATGACTTGAGTGAATTTACAAATTAATGTCATTCTGTATGATGTGATGAACACATAAAATTTAATTTTAAAAACTTAATTTTTAGAAAGTCTTTGATGACTAGTAGTAATTCCAAACTACTAAATAATTTTGTAAGAATTTAAAAAACAATCTCTATTTCCTATATATGACATTTGTCACCTGTCACTTTTGAAAAATCGTTTAAAAGGACCGACATTTGATTTCACTAGTTCTATTCAGTCTACATCCTCACATCAATAGATGGTCGGGTCTTAAACCCGTACCATGACAAAAAAATTTTTTCAATTTTTTAACGTGTTTGTGACGTCCAGTGTCGACCTTTTATATGTTTTTTATATGTTTTAAAAATTCCAACTCCTACAAAATCATAATTGTGAAACTTAAGGAAATGAGATCTCTCCTTTGTAGTGGTATTTAAAAATTGACGTAAGTTAAAAATTACAATCTTTACCAATTAGTACTTATTAGAACATTTTATTGTAGCATAGCTCTGATGATGGCTTTGTAAAGCCGAAAGCGCTCAGCTAGGAATTGCCTAAAATATACACACTTCAAAAATACTTTTTTGCATTTTCTTTCGACTTGTCATAAGTGTGTACAAAAAATATCATTATTGACAAATTAATTATAGCTTCAGTGCAGTGTAGCAGTCATCGAGAATTACTGTAAGTTATCATAATTATAGTATCTTCAATTATCTGGGCGAATAATATGGTATGGTATCAACCACTTGAGATATGCAGACGATATAGTCCTGATAACAGATAAGAAGGAAGAGTTACAGAAGATGGTTGAGGAACTAGATAGGAAAGCGACAGAGGTAGGTCTAGAGATGAACTATAGTAAAACCAAGACTATGACAAATCAAGAAGACCAATTAGAAATAGTAGTCAAACAGAATAAATTAGAGCAGGTGACGGAATACATATACCTAGGACAGATAATAAAGCTGAACAGGGATAATCAAACAGAAGAAATAAAAAGAAGAACTAGATAGCATGGGCCTTATTTGTTAAACTATCATATATTCTAAAAAATAAAAAGTTCCCTTAATATATGCGAACGAAAGTATTCAACCAGTGCATTTTACCAGTTATCACATATGGCTTACAAACATGGACTTTCACAAAGGAGAACATCGACAGGATATCCAAAACACAAAGAGCAATGGAAAGACAGATGCTGGGTATCGGTTCTTAAAGACAGGAAAAGAAACTCATGGATCAGAGAAAAAACAAGGTGAACGATGTATCAAGACAGGCTGCAAAACTTAAATGGAACTTCGCCGGTCACACTCTCCGGCAACAAGATGAAAGATGGAATAGCGAATTCTACACTGGAGACCATGGGAAAAGAAAAGAAAAAGAGGAAGACCACAGATGAGATGGAGTGAGGATCTTAAGAGAACGGCAGGAAAGGACTGGATGCAGATCGCCCAAAATAGAGACCAATGGAGATTAACAAATTTCAATTCCCAACAAATGAAAAAAAAAATAGATACAAAGAAATGGAATGTACCGAAGCTGAGAGATGCAACTGCTGCAAAACAGTACTGGGAAAATATTACCAATAGGTTAAAAAAACAAGATTTCTAGATAACACAGACCAAAATATAGAGAAATATGGAAATACGTGCTTGGCGGAGAACGGCGATGGGATAGGGACGACTGAAAAGAATTCTTGGGGAGGCTAGGACCCACACAGGGTTGTAAAGCCAAAATGCTGATGATGGAGTTTAACAGGGGAGGCCTGATGCCCAAGAGTGGGCGTTTAAGGCTGAATTATATAGATAGATAGATCATGTCATCTTCAATTATCTGGACGAATCTAAGTTCATCCATTTCTACACCTCTAGTTAAGATTAACTACCGATTTAACTATTGAATTCAATGAACATTTATTAATTTCATATGAACTTGCAATCAGTTTTTACGATCTTCTAAATTACGAACATTTAATTCTCAGTTAATCATTAAATAACAGTGCGAACAGATAATCAACTTAACCAAGTGCGGTTTGGTTAATTTTTTATTTCTGAAATCTTTTTGTGTCCTTTGTATTTAACTTTAATTAACTTTGTGTTATTTATTAATTTTTTTATTTGCTGTATTATCTCGAGATACGTCCATAAAACTTTATTTGTGTATGATTGTATTATATTGTATTTGTAAAGTTATTTCCTAATTATAATACTGTTCAATTCTATATGTATACAACCATTGATCAATTGATGGTGCATTTTTTATTACTTTTGTGTACATTCAGCCGCCTATATCATTGAGTTGTTGAATATATTGTTTTTGTTTTATGTATGAATTTGATTTGTCGACTTCTAACAAGTTTCCTTCCTGAGTGAAGTAAAATTGCTTGTTTTTTGTTTGTAAATTTATTTGTAGGTTGATTGCACTGCACCTTTGTTTAAATTTTAGATATAAACAAAATTCTACATTTGAAACAAAAAATTCCTTATTTTGTCCAAACTAACAAGCTAATATTAAATATCAATTATCGCTAATTGCTGATACGTTTACTGTTCGGAGGTTCGAACGAGAATCCGCAGATCACAAAATTGATTTTGAAAATTCCATAATTATAACCTACATCGGTTTTCTACATACAAAAATGATTATCTGAAAGGTCATAGAGATCAAGAAGTGCCCTAATAGTCTTAATAAAAAAGATGGTTGCAATCGACTACCATGTGAGATATCTCCTAAACTACTATAAAACACACTTCTGCCTTCGTTAATTCAGTTTAAGCTATAAATAATATTCGCGCCACATATCCGAATAGAAGTGACAATAATGTAAACCTTGAGTTATCTTTGGATTGAAGAAACTGAAACTTCAGAAGTCCTGATGAAGACTCCAACGCGAAAGTCGAAAGCTCAACGTACACAATCTGATGCGATCTAACAAGCGAAGTTGATATTCAATTAATAATAATATAAATCTTAGCTATAAGTTTGATTTTAATAGTTGCGGAAGCATTTTCGGACGAGGTCAAGAAAGTTAACAGATAAATACAAATTGAACTTACTCTAAATTCTTTTGGGGCTTCTGCTTTGTCCTCTACACTTTCATCTACTTTCATTTCGTTATTTACCACTATTTCCTTTATACTCCCACTTGGATTATCTTCACATTTAACGTTCTCTAGCATTTCCATTGGTTCTCCTTGTCCATAAATCGTTACATCTATGTGTCTGGCGTTATCGTTACGCAACTTAGAAGATGGATCCGCTATTTCCGGTATGCTTTCTTCACTTTCCACGTGTTCCGAGTATTTTATTCGTAAGTCTGGACTCTCAGATCGCTCTGGCTGCCTTATCCTGATCTCTGGACCTCCTAAAACACAAATTCGAGTAAATTCAAAATTAATAACTCGTAATAGTGATAATAGGGATGTTGACTAGTATTGGGAAAGTGTTTAAAACCGTACATAAGTACCTAATATAGCCCAAGATATTTAATATATATATATATATATATATATATATATATATATATATATATATATATATATATATATATATATATATATATATATATATATATATATATTTTAATAAAAATAATACTTTAAAAATGATATATTTTAAACTATTTAGACGACTTCGACATTTAACTTACCACCGTAGATGTTGTAAAAGAAGCTCCACAGACTTTCTGGTACATCTGCGGCTTCTTTCAGGTCCAGCTGGTCTAGATTAATTTTTGTGTTGTCTATAGGCCCAGGCGGATCTTGGGTTCGTTTATGGACAAAATTGTGCCACTGGGTATACCACGACGTCGAAAGGAAGTGAGTGTTGGGAGCATCTTCGGCTTGAGCTTCTCGACTTACCTAAAATTTAATTTAATGAAAATGTTAATCATTTAAAGTCTGTCTATTTGAAAAACGGTATAAAAGCAACGACGTGTTGTAGATCAAAGGGCAAAGTATTCTTGTATGAATCCTTGTTAATTTTATTCAATTTTTTAATCTACTATCAATTAAACATTTCCTTACCTGTAAGAATGTTTCCATTTCATACAATAATCTCTTCTGCATTGCCGCACACGCCGGACACACGGTTAGATCAGTAAAAGGAGGACATCCGCCGAATTTACTGTGTAAGAACTGGTAAACATCTAGAGGAATAAGCATGGCTATCTTGTGGATGTCGATATCCCTCTCGGGACTGACGGCTCCGTGTTGGCACAGGAAGTCCGAATTGTCTATTGGACCTGGTTCGGCACAGAAATAAAATCTGAGAAAATAAAAAAAAATTACTAAATTTGGATATGTAAAGTTGACTCATTTTTCTGTAAAACATAAAAAGACAAAAATATGGTAACCTACACTGAGGTGCAAAATTAACTGGATACTCAGATTTTTTTGTTTTTGGTCGGTGTTTAGATCAAAACCTGAATTCTGAAACGTTCCTGAACCTTGTGGGACTCCGTGTTTTACGGAAAGAAAATCGGAGAGTTGATCTTTAGACTCTACCGCCTGGTAGAGTCTAAATACCGTGTTCGTAGAAGAACGAGCACTTCTGAATCCATATTGGAAGTTGCTAAAGTAATTATTTGACTCAAAATGGAAATAAAACTGTTGTTTGATAAGCTTTTAAGGCTACTAAATTATTAGGGATAGTACAAGCTTTATTTTACATCGTCAAAACTGGTATAGTGTATTAGAGATCAACGCCATCAAGATAATTCCATATACCACACTAGGGCTTTACGGAAAGGATATTTTTTTCACAGTTTTAAAAATATGAAATATTCAACTTTGACCGCTAAAACATTAAAATAAAAACTTACCTATTAATCCATTGTTTAGAAATATACGTCCTCTTCATAACTTCATTGACATTCTTCTCGGCAGTATTTTCTAAAATCTTTTCGGCACTTTCTCTAATAACTTCGGCACTAGTATTGACTTTTTGGTAAAATAGAACGTAGGCTTCGCACCCTTGTACTTTGTCCGCAGACACTTTGGTAACATACTGGTCGTCGAATTCGTACCACTGGCCACAGTTTAAGGCGAAACAGGTGTAATGCCCACCGCCGGCGGTGCCGTGGTGGCATATTACGGAAAATAATTCGTACGAAGATACCTAAAGACATAAATAAATTGTATAATAAGTACCACTCAACAGATATAACTGCAACGCTCAAGGTTACTTCATGGATAAAGGAAGGACCAATAGTCAATTATATGCAAGTGCCCGAAGGCGATTAGACTCGCGATTATCCGAGGTAATTGGGACCGGGACTACCTCGGATACCGAAAAAACTCGGTTAACATAGATTGGTTATATGTACTGATAAAAAAATGTGTACCTACGCAAATAATGATTAATGTGTTTATTTTAATAATTAAAAACTAATATAAAAGTAGTATAAAAGATAAAACAATTTACCTTATAAATGTTATTGTTTAAAAAAGTCTTTGATTGATTTTTGTGTTAACTTCTTTTTGAGGCGGCGATGTTGCGCCAACGTTGAAAATTGAGCACGTCTAATGGTGTCGATTCTTCTTGTTGCTCGATGTATGCGAGGGCTGCTTCAAGGGACTTCAATACATCGGAATGAGAAATTTTTTGAGTTATCTCAACTGTATCTTCTTCATCTTCTTCATGAGTGACGTTTAGAACTAGATTGGCAATTGCATCATCTGTCAGTTCCATTTCTTCATCTAGATTCATCCAATCGATGATGTCTTGGTTTCCGATTGGTTGTTCTACTGGTAATTGATTGGCTAGGTTGGTTACATAATCAACTTCACGTCATCAGTTGCATTTTGAACGTCTTGTGTTTTGTTGTTTATTTTAAATAATTTTTTCCACGACTTCTGAATAGTGGACACTTTTACATCGTCCCAAGCAGATGCAATCCAATAGCAAACATCTTTAACCGTGATTTTCTTCAATGTCTCAATTACAGTCAGCCCTTCATCCAGCTTAGTTAGCAGTACCTGAAGAAGCTTCCGCCGATAATTCCTCTTCATTGCTTCTATAACGCCTTGGTCTAGGGGTTGGATGAGAAACGTCACGTTGGGTGGAAGGAACGCAGCTCGTATGTCACCACTAATCAATTCACTCGCATCTGGGTGGAATCGTGCGTTGTCCAACAACAACAAAGCTTTCCGAGGCAGATTTTTGTTTATTAGGTAGGCATCAATGACTGGCACAAAGTCATTAAAAAACCAGTCCTTAAAAGTGTTACAGTCCATCCATGCATTGCGTTGGTTGCTATAGATTGTAGGTAAGCAGTTTATTTGGACGTTTTTGAATACTCTTGGATTTCTGGATTTTCCGATTAAAAGAGGTTTTAATTTTAATGAACCAGAAGCATAGTTACAAATCATGATTATGACTCTCTCTTTGCTTTTTTGGTAACCTGGTGCAGTTCCTTCATTTTTAGCAGCTAGTGTTTTCGATGGAAGCATTTTAAAGTTAAGACCTGTCTTATCACAGTTAAATATTTGGTCTGAAGTTAGTCCATCTTTAAGGATAATGTCTTGTAATTTTAAATAAAATGTTCCAATTTCAGTTGAGTAAGCAGAAAGTTTTTCGCAACAAATATTCAATTGTCGGATGCCATATTTCTTTTTACATAAGTCAATCCATCCTTCACTAGCACAAAAGTTTTCTCCTCCATCCATAAACTTCTTCTGGAATTCGATAGCTTTTGCTTGGAGTATTGGACCACTTATTGGACTGCCCAATCCTCTCATTTGTGAAAACATATCAAGAAGTTTGTTGATAGTCCCCTTTCTTCATAGTCTTCCGGGCCAATCCACTACCACCACTCACACTTCGGTTAATCCACTGTTCGATTTTATTCCGCTTACGCTTCCAATCTCCAACAGTTACTTCTCCGACACCTAAATCTGAAGCAACCTTCTTTATTGATTCACCCTTGTCCAACCTCTTAATTGCATTCACTTTTGTTTCTAAAGATACAACTACTCTCTTCCGCTTTTCACTCATATTGCACAGAAATATGCTCTCTTACACTCACAAAAATCAACTTATGAAAAATTAATTATGAAACTTACAGCCGGTTTCCGAAAGGCTAATCATTATCAAAATTAGGTAATCTACTGTTAACAGTCGATTAAATGCATTTTGAGTTGCAGAAACATCGATCAAACTTCAATCACATAACACACATTAACTAATCTAACAAACAAATAATCGATGATTAACAGCCTGTCAGAAGTATTTTGGGTTTCCGAAACGGTAATTATCGTTTTATCTATGTCAAACAACTGTCATACCAGCTTGACAGGTAATCTGAGATTTTTGGACGATTAATCTTATAATCTTTGGTTATGTATCAATGGTTGTAAGTAAATAAAATAAAATCTTTGGTTACGTTGTAAATACATAGACCTAAGGTGTTTTATAAAAAGCTGTTGTTTAGAAAGAACTCAAAAATATTGTTACAAAGGTAAACAATTTACTAATATTTAATTAAATATGATAATGATTGATAAATGACAAATTGGCAAACATTAACAAACGACACAAAATTAATAGTTAGGTTATGTTTGTTTGTTGATTTTCAGAATGCAGATTACACATAAACAGAAATGACGGTAGAGTGAAACAGCAACATTACTTTCTTAATTTAGAGCAAGATAAAGAACAATTCGTACAGAAATAATAAACGATTATAATCGATTCTACAGTTTCCATGTAAAATCGTATGTCAAATAATCTATAATCGGTGATCACCTAATTTTACCATAATTTTCGTTTCGGAAACTTGTCGCTTGTTAACAGTTGATCAAATTTGACACTTGATTACATGATTGGAGATTTGAATAACGTTTCGGAAACCGGCCGTTAAACTTATAAACTCGAATAAATACACAAAACAGTACATAAAAGCAAAAATTTCAACATACAGTAATTAATTAATACTTAATTTGACGATCTGAACGACAGCAAACAAATAATTTGACGATCTGAACGACAACAAACAAATCGGTAGTTCAATTCACACTGATTAACATTGAAAGTAACAGGAAGTTGTAGACAAAACACGACACAGAAATTTCTGGAAATAAGGCGGTGACCAATTTCTGAGAATTGCAACTCGACATCAGCTTGACCTAGACACAATCCTCTTCTTATCAATAATCCACAATTTTCAATGGATTGCCCATATAACAGCTGCCGATATAACTTGTGACCATCGACCCTTTTTTTTATTAATCGATATTGTGATTCAACAAGTACGGCTATAAAAGTAAACCCCAGGCAAAATTTTGCCTCGGTTAACCGAGGGGCTCGGATAACCAAGGCTCGGATAATCGAGAGTCTACTGTACTTAGCATTGAATATCAATTTTAGTGCGTTTGCTACGTTGTCAGATAACTTCGCAATTCGTGAAATAGTTATTGTTTGTTTGTGAAATATTTTTTTATTAAAATTAATCACGCAAGTGCCGTAAAAAATCGGATTCTGAATGCAAACGCTCGTGAAATTATAAACTGGGGTTTAAAATTTACGCAACAGGAAGCAGAAGGAAATGTTCTTCTTATTGAGTTATCGAAAGTGCAAGAACGAGTAACTGCTTTGACAGGTAAATTAATTGTATATTTATATATAAATATTTTGCATATTTAGATTACCAGTTTTTTTGTTATAAATCGAATATAAAAAGAAGTGCTGTTCTAGAAAGATAGAAAATAATCGAATAAGTGGAAAAAGTTAATATAATATTCAATTGTTGTAGGTGTCGCTTTATCCAGCGCCAGAAAAATCGCTAAAGAGGGTCGTGAGGTTGAAAATGGAGAAACCTGTGGATTCTCCACACTTAATAAACGAGAAAAAACTCCTCAAAAATACAGCTAGACCCATGTGATGAAAGTATTTCACGGAGACAAATATATCATTTTCATCTTCGCGATAAACAAGTTCCCACAATTAAAAAAATTCACCAAAAATTTGTAAATGAATTAAATTATGCGGGAAATAGAGAAACTATGAGGATGGAATTCCACAAATTTTGGTTTCGCTGGAAAAAACAGTGGACAACAGAAAAATGTTGAAAGAGAAACACGCAATTAGACATTTAAGGCTGCAATATCTGAGAAAAATCAAGGAAGCAAGAGATGCAAATAAATTTATAGTATTTACTGACGGAACTTATTTACTAACGAACCATATTGCAAAAAAACCATTGGTGTGGTACCAGTTATAATGGACTTATAAAACCAGTGTCAAAAGGGCAACGTTTAATTATTGTTGGGACAGAAAATGAACAAGAGTTTGTTCCTGGTTCTTGAGGTGGAAGTTGACGTCAAAATCTGGAGACTATCATGATGACATGAACTATGCAAATTTAAAAAAATAGTTGCAAGTACATATTTTGTGTAACTTGCCTCCGAATAGTGTAATAGTGTTAGATAATGCGCTATACCATAATACACAAGAAGATAAATGTCCCACATCCAATTCGAAGAAGTGTGTTATGCAGGAAAGGCTTCGGGAAAAAAATATTGCATATACTGCCTCTATGTTAAAGCCTGATCTCTATAATATAATAAACTTGCATAAACCTTTATGTAAAAACCATTATGTAAAATATGCAATGGATAGAATTATACTAGCACAAGGGAATTATGTATTTAGACTCCCACCATACCATCCAGATTTGAATCCTATTGAAATGGTTTGGGCAGCTTTGAAATCATATATGTGGAAGCGAGAAATGTAAACTTTACATTTACGTCAATCCAGCAGCTGTCGGACGAATTTTTTCAAACCATTCCTGGGGAGGAGTAGAAACAAATAACAGACAAAGTCTTCGTAACTGAACGTGAATTAATATCAAAGGAGCCACTAATTGATGCAGTCGTAGTTCGTATTGTTATTAATCCAGACTAAGATTCAGATAACGACGATTTACAATTAAATTCCGACAGCAAAAATAGAAACCTTGATGATATTTTTAAATAAAAACAGGTAAATCTATTTTTAAGCTTATTTCCACAACCGTTGGAAACAATTTATTTTAACTAAATATCGCAATTCTCAGTATTAAACAAATTTAGCTTTCTAATTTAATAGACTTCCATTCATTCAGTTCATTTTAATGATTATGCGCCGGTTGTTCGAACGCTAATCAAAACTTGATTGTAATCAAATATTTAATTACAAGCAAATACGTCACAGCAGCTGTCAAAATGATTAAAAATTGCTTATTATTATTATTTTTGATTTGTAAATAAAAACATGAAATTAACATCAGAAAGAGTTTGATTATGGTTTATTTTAAATTAAAAAACAAAATAATAAAATTAAATAAAATAAATCGGTCAACATAACTTCAAAATGTGACGTATTTGCTTTTAATTAAATATTTGATTCAAATCAAGTTTTGATTAGCGCTCGAACAACCTTAGACTAATTACTTCTGCAAACATTTTAACTTTGATATTAGTGCTCTGATAATAAATATAATTATAAACTCATTACAGTAATTACAGAGTATTAATATTACAGTTCAATAGACAACCTCTAAAATAATATTCGATTAGGCAACACCGCATCAACCAACATTTGTCATGTCTGGTCGTGTCAAATCGCCACCGTTGCAGTTAAATCTGTTTAGCTGTAGTAACTGTCGACGTTTCTGTGACAGGGTTGCCAAATAACCTTATATTTTTATTTTAATGAAAAAGCAAAAAATCTAACTAGACTTACCTTAGAAACACAGTCCGTGTGAAGATACGGTCGCATTTCCAAACCTTTTAATGGGAAACTAACTACAGAGGAAATTTTGCTACTAAACATCAGTTCATGTCTAAATCGTTTTAGATGTATACATAGAACTTCAGGTAATTGTAAAACCTAAAAAAATAAATTAATGGTTAACAAGAAAAATATTAGATCTCACGGTAATAAAGAATACTCTATAAAATAAGTGGAACACATTTCTTAACAGCAAAAATGAACACAATATTTCGTGAAACTGAATTCATCCATAAATGGGAACGCATGCACATTCATCTATATTCCAACTGGCATGAATTTTCGTAAATTTGTTGAAGACAAAACATGTCAAATTTTGTTCCATCGGTGAAAATATTCTAACTAGAGCTGTGCAGTAAGTGGTTGTTCCCGTAAAACTTGGGAGACGAAGAAAACGATTTTCAACAGTTATCAGTTGTTGATAGTCCCATTCCCTCTCTAGCTTACTCCAGGGAACTAAGTTTTCTCCGGATTTCAGGGAGTTTTCAATAACCCAAGCATCTAGAATATTTCAAAAGAAATATCTAGGGCGAACGGAACTTTTATTAGTTGATATGAGGTTGAATGCTCGAATAAATGAACTTTGAAAAATTAAAGGCAAATATCGAGCACAATTTTAATAATCAAATCTTGCCCAAGTACTTTCGCTTTCTACAGCATCATCAGGGGCATCTCGTTAAATTTGGGCTATCCAGCAAGCACAAAATGTAATAAACATTAAATTGTACATAACACTACACTAAAATAAGGACAAACAGTTTAAAATTATTCTACGCTCTACATTCTTGTCGGCAACAGGAGAGAGAATCCCTAGAACAGGAGAGAGAAATATTCTCTCTCCTGTTGCCGACAAGAATGTAGAGCGCAGAATAATTTTAAATAATTTTAAACTGTTTGTCCTTGTTTTAGTGTAGTGTTATGTACAATTTATGTTCAATTTCATGTTTATTACATTCTGCGCTTGGTGGATAGCCCAAATTTGACGAAATGCCCCTGATGATGCTGTAGAAAGCGAAAGTACTTGGGCAAGATTTGATTATTAAAATTGTGCTCGATATCTGCCTTTAATTTTTTAAATTTTACTTTTCTTAGTGTTTAAATATACAGATAAATTTGTAAAATACATAAATCATCAATAAATTTGTAGTCATAAAAAATGAAATGAAGAGACATAATTGAATGTACGGACTGTCTCACGATATTAAAACATCTAGCACAAGCTAGCTATCGCTTTGATGCATTTAAAACAGTGTGGAGTCGGAGCACAATTTGTGAATCTCTGCGTTTGAGTTGGTAAAACTGGGGCTGGGGCTGAACACAGAATCAAACACGAAATACTAACAAATGTCTTCAACTGTTTCCCACTCAAATGGTAGCTTCAAAGTAAATCGATCCTTTGTAAGTTACCCTCTTTAGTGGGAATTAGTTGGGATTATGCTTTTCACTTTTCTCTGTTAAGTATGAGGCTGACCAACTGTTCCTTAACAGAATTTGGTTTAAAGTTTGTAGGCATTTCAGTTTGCATATGCAAATTACATATATTGATTATGTCATAGTATATCTCGTATTTCGCTACATGTTCATTAATAACGAAAACAAGATGTAGTGCCTTTTTGGTAGTCCCTTTGTTTGTTTTTTCTATTTCAATATAATCCTTATCCCCCCCATTCATTTAACGCATCACACATTACAAACGGACCAATAATAATGGATATATGTTGTAATGTTGGCGCTGGTATTTTCATTAAGGACAGACTGAGAAATTATATGTATATATTTATGTATAAAACACTCATTTTTAGTTTTACAGTCAATATATTTAAAACCTTATCTCTAAAATGATCCTCATTTTTAAAAAATTTTCAAATATTTAATATTTATTTAATTTTATATAGAAACACTAACAATTCTTTTTTAATAAAATATATGATTTTAATGATTTTTAAATACACAAATTGGATTTAGGAAAGGACTGGGAACACGAGATGCACTGTTTGCAGTAAGTGTTCTTTCGCAGAGATGCTTAGATATTAATCAGGAAGTATATGCCTGTTTTATTGATTTTGAGAAGGCATTTGACAGAGTGCAGCATAATCGACAAAGAAGTTTTATTAAATAAAAACATAGACAGTAAAGACATTAGAATCATCTGTAACCTCTATTGGAATCAAACAGCAAAAGTGAAAGTTGAAAACGAACTGACCAAGGATATCCAGATTCGCCGTGGCGTCCGCCAAGGGTGTATTTTATCACCCTTGTTATTCAATTTATACAGTGAAGCCATCTCAGAATTAGCGCTTGCCGAGATCAGTGAGGGCCTTATAATAAACGGTGAGCCACTTAATAACATAAGATATGCTGACGACACCGTCCTTATGGTAGGAACACTAGAAGAACTGCAACACCTTGCTGAACAACTAAATATATATTGCAACGATTATGGACTAAAAATAAATTTGAAGAAAACCAAGTTCATGTATTAACAAAAGCACAATAATTCAAAGTTAAGCTAGTATTAGATAATACAGAAATTGAATAAATATCTTCGTACAAATACCTAGGAGCATGGATTACAGAAGATACTGAGTAGACAAAAGAAATAAGATGCCGCATTGAATTTGCACGGTCAACTTTTAACAGAATGAGAAAACTTTTTTTAATCGCGATATCAATACATCGCTCCGGATAAGAATGATTCGATGTTATATTTTCTCTACCCTTTTGTATGGGATTGAAGCTTGGACACTTAAAAATCCAACATTAAAAACCTAGAAGAATTCCTTTACAATCAGGAAATTGGAATACTTGGGGCACATCATGAGAGGTAAAACATAAACTACTAAGGAATATAATGCAGGGTAAAATCAAAGGCAGAAGAAGCGTAGGAAGACTTAAAATCTCGTGGCTACGCAATCTCCGTGAATGGTTTGGATGCAGTTCAGTTGAACTATTCAAGCGCGTAACCAACAAAATTATAATTACCAGAATGATTTCCAATCTCCGATAGGAGCGAAACTTGAAGAAGAAGAATATGATTTTAATTTGATATTTTTATATAATACTAAAAATAAGCAATGAGAAGAACTATAGAAGAATAAACCTTAACAGCAGATCGTTGTATCAAATAATAAGTAAGTTAGATTTTTCTATATTACTTCAATAGGTTCGTTATATATAAATTAGTGTATAATACTTACTTTACTGAACTTAATACCATTCCTTAATTTATTACACTTTTCGCAACTGTACATATTATCCCCTTTCAGCTCGTCAGTACTAAAAAATGCAGCTAAACAGTCATGTAGTGTTACAGTCGGACCATAAAACCAACTCCTCAACCACGCCAGTATCCACGTCATCCACCCGTCTTGTACCGGCATTAGAGCCTCTGAACAAGTTGCGCCTACCAAAATAAAAACATAATTGACAATGTGTAATACTTTATAAATAAAATCAGGCTATATTTGTTACTAAAATTTATTATTTTGCTCAAAATCTAAAGTAGCTGATTATCATGTGGAAATGAGTAATGCAAATTTTACTAAATGGATAAGTGAACAAGTAATTTCCAATTTAGAAGAGCGATTATTAATTATGATGGATAATCTCGCAGTGTTCTTTTAGAAAAGCAACCTTCCACTGTTTCAACTAGAATGGAAATTATTAACTGGGTGGCAACAAACATCATGTGTGTGTTTAGTCTGTGTGTAGATCAATTATCTTGGTTTAGTCCAATTGCCAGCTCAAAATTTTATTAAAATTATTATTTCCATAGATACAATTTCCTATCTTTGGATATTAACGAAAATTTTCTTTTTTTCCACAGCGCTAAGACCTAAACCCGATTCAACCCCTCGGAGGTTTAGGGACTCTTTGTATATTATGCTTTTTTTTTAATAATATATATTTTTTTAATAATTATTTTATTCTTATTTTTTTTATATAATATACAAAACCTTAATAAGACCGGTACTCACATACGGTTCAGAAACCTGGACGCTCTCTAAAAGGGAGGAAACGTTATTGCCACCTTTGAAAGAAAAATCTTGCGACACATATATAAGGGCACAAAAGAAAACGGGATTTGGCGGAGAAGATATAACTTTGAACTATACAACATATACCAGGATCCGGATATCATAACATTCATTAAAATAGGAAGGCTACGTTGGATTGGACATGTGGAAAGAATAGAAGAAGGCGAAATACCAAACAAAATATTCAAACAAGTGCCAGTAGGAAAAAGAACAAGAGGAAGACCGAAGCTGAGATACGTAGAACAAATAGAAAATGATATAACAACATTAAAAATTAAAAACTGGAAAAAAAAAGCACGAAACAGGTCAGAATGGAGAAGAATCCTTGAACAGGCCAAGACCCAAAAAGGGTTGTCGAGCCAGTGATGATGATGATGATTCTTTTTTATATATTTTTATTTATTTATTTATTTTTATTTAAATATCAATTTTTATATTTTTTAGATGGTTATAAACAATTTTGTAGAACATAAAGACGGTATTAGATTTTTATTTCGATGCAGGGCATCTACAAGCCCCTTATACGTATTTCAACCTCTTTAGGTATCATTACAGCGTCATATGCAATTGCTTTGAGTCGAAACAAAATCTCTTCCGTCATAGAATAATAATTATATAAATAATTATTTACATACGTTATAACGCCATCCAATCACAACACTAGGAATCCCAAGATTTCCTACTTGGTGAAGCTAAATTCAAATCTTTACCACTATGTTTTCTAAAACTTACAAAGGAGACAGATTGATAAATCAGTCGGCAAGGGAATCAATAATTTGCATTCCACATGCCGGTCATCACGGTTTTGTAGAAATTTATATTATAATGGCATTAAAATTGGTGGAGAGAGTAGCTCCTGCTGTTTGTAAATTCTTATATAACGTTTGGTTTAGCACATTTGCAGTTTGCACAATGGAAAATTACATGCTCTAATATACCCATCTCTCCGCAAGTGCAGTATTGAGAAGTGACCAACCCTAGTTTATTTTTGTGGGATGGATATAAACCATGTTTGTGCCTTACTCTATTTAAGGTCTTATTGAAGTGTCCATGCGTTAAACCACGGTTTTCTATGAATTTTTGGTTGGATATCATGAAATCTTATACCATTTAGTGAGTTGTCATATTCCTGTTGCCATGGTCCCACTTATTTTTCATAAACCATTGTCGTAGATTGGTGACTGGCATTATTGGTTCTTCTATCGTTGTAGTAGCATCCTTTGCTAGTCTATCCACCATTTCATTTCAGTTAATTCCCTAATAGGCCTTAATCAAAACCAAACAAATTTGTTTACCTTTATTGGTAAGTGACTGGACAGCTTTTACAATTCTTATAATCACTACTGATGAAGAGCTTGATAATTTAGTTTGTATTATTGTGTGTGCTGAACTTTTGGAAACATCTAAAACCGCTGTGACTTGACATGGGTAGCTCATGTATCTTTATTCAGTCCGTTATAACTCTAGTCGTTTACTTCAGCTGAGTATTGCGCAATAGCTTTCAATACTAATAACATTCCGCCGCCTTTGACTCAACACGCTTAAAAATTAATACAAAAAAGAATTACACAGAACTTGGTGCACACTAAATCGTATTAGGACTAAACATGTCGATGTGCTCATATATTACACCAATTACCATCATTATAAACACAAACGTGTTAAATAGAAACACACCTTTAACTTCTTTTGGTCACAGTTAATTACAGACATAAATTAACATACCTGTACTAATTGGTTGTGAAGATGTCCTTCCATGTAACACCACCAAATGATCTCTCGATGGAATGGGAAGTGAGAGGTCCTGGAATGTTTCTACCTTGCTAGATACCCTATCACATGTTAAACATTGAACGGAGGATAATAACTTTCCGTCAAATATATCAGAAATAATCGAACGGTACTTTGGTTGTTTCTTATTCGGGAGATTTGAATTGGAATTCGATGTTGTTGGTTGAGAATCTAGAAAAAGTTAGATAAGAAGATATGGATGTCTTTGGACAAAGATAACTATGAGTAAATGTAAAAAGAAAATCTCTTACTTACCTATCACAGTAGTACTCTGCATCCTTTGCCTCTGCCGCCTATTAGGACTACCACATCGACTCAACCTCCTCTTTGGCTGACTAGGTTGCCTCTCCGTGTCATCACTTAAACTCGACCTCTCGCTAACCCCAGAATCGCACGTTTCGTATTCCCCTTCGCTAGAATCATAACTAGCGGGAGATGATACGAACGGAACGGAAGTGGGCTCCTCCATCGCCAAACTGAAAGTGTCGGCATCGGGAGCAGAGCCGCTCGATGAGGTCGAATTCCAGTTCGTACTGTTTAGATTTGTTGGAGAGGGTAATTCCGGCGGAGCGAGCTGTTTGAGTTCTTCGTGAAGTTGGTCCATAAAGTTTCGAAGGAATTCTTGGGTGTCGTGTTGCTGGTAGCCCCGAAACATTGCGTGAACGTTGCGGATGCCGTACAGAATACCTAGGTATTAGAATAATTTATATTACATTAAAGTTAAATCAAACTTTATAAGTAGTTTTAATGACTATGTAAAGTAATAATGACGTATTCACCCCTGCCACTATCAAATGACGTTAAAGTAGATCGAAACGTGCCATTGTATCAACGAAGAGAGACTTTTGGAGAGAAACAACAGATATGTTAAGGTTGATCTGCACCTTCAACTAGTTTGTTTCGGACCCGAGAGATGGCTCTACTACGACATGTTGCTATAGTAAAATTTTCAACTTAATTGTAGATTTTTACATGATGACTGTAATATTTACACCCTAACCCTAACATACATTACAATTTTCTATGATTACATCCATTGGCTGAGTTGCCAAATTGTGTAGACAGTAATTTTATCAAATAAAGTTAAAGCAACTTACAAAGACCGCTTTGCATTTAATGCTGATAACTTTATTGCTAGTAGACCAAGTAATCGAAGATATCTTTAACATCTCAATCGGAATATAATATATTGCATAGTGAATTTATTGAAAAACATGTTTTAATAATTTTTGTTTAATTCTTTGTGACATCTAATCTAGGTTTACCAAATAGTCAAAGCTATGCCTTTGCAAGAACATATTGTTAATAGAAAAATAAGGTTCCATCCACACATATCATTGAAAAATGATTCATGTTATCTAAACCCTGTTATCAACACAGAAATATGTAGATACTGCGACGGCGATATCTGTGAAGATCGTATTATCATTAACTTTATACTTGTCATCATATATTATATTTTGGTTGATAATTAATGTCGCTAGAAGATTCACATAGTGTTTATCCCTGTTAGTATGAATCGATTTTTTCATTCCACATGCAGTACACTTGAAAACGAATTGAGAATTTAAACCCATGGCTACTTCTTTGTCAAATGCAAAATATTCAGTTTATTTACATGGCATTCATGACTCTCTAAGGATTTGATTTCGACTATACAGTAGCTAATATTGACTATTCTTCATTGAATATTCATCCAGAATATTCATATTTACATAGTTTATTATCGTACGCAGCCAGTACTTGCAGTACTTCAATTTCTAAATATTTTGTATTGGAATATAATGTTGGGGTTGTCTGACCACTGAATGATGCAACAGATTCTCTGAAAAATGTGGAGAATATGAAACTAAAACAATCTAAAAAAGCTTCCATATTACTGCCCCAATGTTAAATTATTGCAACATCTTAAAGCTTAAAGAAAAAAAACGAGCTACGAGTTATATACGTCAATGCATTTCAAATAACACAAAGAATACATTACGTAAGACATATTAGCGTAAAAGTGAACCAAATTTTCGTAAAATAGTTTCGAAACACAATTCAGATTTCTGCTTTATAATCTCAGCCTTCTAAGAATTGCAAGGCAAACAGACGTTGATAAAAGATGTTAAAAGAGACATGGGGAATCTAAAATTTGCATTCCACGACATGTCTTTTACAACTAAGTGTAATGTAAGCGTAGCAAGTGAGTGAGAAGTTGGAATAAAGGGATAATGGAACAATAAGTAGCATAGAAAAGATAATAATTATTCGAGATAATTATTATATATTCCAAATTAAATAAGGGATAATTAATACAGTTAACTTATACATTTAAATTATACAAAGTATAACAATTGACCTAGTTATGGCATTGTTTGATAATTGTTTAAACGTATAAAAAGCACGAAACTATTAACAACAACAGCCGTGACCCAAATAGGCGCATAACGCCAAAACTGCAACTCAGCGAACCTACGACCTTGGTACTAGAACCGGTGTTGAAAGTACGACCACAATAAAACAAGAAGAAACGACGGACGCCGGGTAGTTGGTAGTCAGTAGTAGTCAGTCAGTTGGTAATGGGCAGTCAGTAATAGCGGGCCACCGTGACTGGGACGCGACAGCGTCCCGTACGCGAACAGTACGAGACAGTCGGTGATTTTCCGGGGGCCGGGTATCTTCTGTCAGAATTCGCGTGTAGTCCGGTTATTGTGGCAGCTCGAAAGTTCGCAACCCTCAACTGACCGAGTTCCAGAAGACTGAACGTGTCGTGGTTGAAGCCCTAATATACACATAAGGTAACAGATTTCTTATACTAACCTGTGTAATTATATTAGTACCTCTGTCAACTTTTCACTATCTTGCTACATCGTCTCCCGACGCGCAGAATAACGTGTTAACGATTGTATTAGGAACTTCAGGGTAGATTCAATATATTGTTGACTCTAATTTGGTTTTTTTTTAATGTTCCTTTCGTCCGACTCACTAGAGACTAGGAGAACACGAGATTCTGCGTATACATATCTCCGGCTTCAAAAGTAAGCCCATAACCTCTACTCTTACAGGACCTGAGACCGAGGAGTTCTTACCCCTATCCCGAAATCCCTTATCTTCTCGTAAATCCACGAAGACGAGCCAGCCCTCCAGACCAGTGTGACCAGTATTCCTTGCAGCCGCTCGCAGGGTTAGCATCCCTTGAGGATCAATGTATTATTACATTTGGTGACAGTATTTACAGGACCCTATACATAGAAGTTCCTTAATCCCCTTAATCCCTCTCCACTTCTCGTAAATCTGTCCCAATGTATTCTTTTACATTGGTGACAGCGGTGGGATGTAAGCGTAGCAAGTAGACCAATGTAAGGTTGTAATAGTTAGCAGTTAGAAATCCTTAGCGAATTGTGCTTCTAGTACTCCCACAGAGTAAATCCGAATATATGAGAAAAGGCAGCAAATATTTGATTTCACGCAAACAAATCCTATGTATCTCTTGATACGTATTTCGACCTAATAGGTCTCGTCAGAAGAGCTATTCATAGGGGTTCTCAACGTGAAAAATCAATATTTTCTGCCTTTTAAGAAGCAACAATAAGATGGCTTCACTGTGGAGTACTAGAAGCACAATTCGCTAAGGATTTCTGCTTAGTTGTAAAAGACATGTCGTGGAATGCAAATTTTAGATTCCCCATGTCTCTTTTAACATCTTTTATCAACGTCTGTTTGCCTTGCAATTATTAGAAGGCTCAGATTATAAAGCAGAAATCTGAATTGTGTTTCGAAATTATTTTACGATTGTTTAATTAGATGTCACTAGTGCGTCCGTATTGAAGCCATGTTATTGTTGCTTCTTAAAAGGCAGAAAATATTGATTTTTCACGTTGAGAACCCCTATGAATAGCTCTTCTGACGAGCCTATTAGGTCGAAATACGTATCAAGAGATACATAGGATTTGTTTGCGTGAAATCAAATATTTGCTGCCTTTTCTCATATATTCGGATTTACTCTGTGGGAGTACTAGAAGCACAATTCGCTAAGGATTTCTGCTTAGTTGTAAAAGACATGTCGTGGAATGCAAATTTTAGATTCCCCATGTCTCTTTTAACATCTTTTATCAACGTCTGTTTGCCTTGCAATTCTTAGAAGGCTCAGATTATAAAGCAGAAATCTGAATTGTGTTTCGAAACTATTTTACGATTGTTTAATTAGATGTCGCTAGTGCGTCCGTATTGAAGCCATGTTATTGTTGCTTCTTAAAAGGCAGAAAATATTGATTTTTCACGTTGAGAATCCCTTTGAATAGCTCATCTGACGAGACCTATTAGGTCGAAATACATATCAAGAGATACATAGGATTTGTTTGCGTGAAATCAAATATTTGCTGCCTTTTCTCATTGAACCAAATTTCTTTACGTAATAATTTTTTAAATCTACTATTTAGGATTTTTGGATAATTCTGAACAAAAAAATCTCTAAAACTGATGATTCTCTTGTTATAAACAATTTAAAATTAAAAGAAAAACGAAATACGACAATTTTTTAGGCTCAAAAAAACAAGTAAGAATTATTAATAACGGACATATCGTACTTCGACGAACTATTGTCACACCTTTTACTACAATATATACACATTATGCTCTTATATATATATATATATATATATATATATATATATATATATATATATATATATATATATATATAAATGATGTTTCTAAGTCCAAGAACAATATTTTTAAAAAATAACTTTATTGACAAGGGACTACTTACTACAGTAAAATGCAAAATAAGAGTGACGCTATACAATGCAAAAGTAAATTAAGTAAGCTCGGTGACGCCGAGGTGTAGCGTGCTGACGCTGTCCTTTTATTATAGTTGAATTAGCAGTTCTGGTTTCTTAACTCCTCCGGGGCTAGATGAGAACTATGGGGTGGCATAGTTCGAAGAAATGGAAAATTATCTGGTACCTTTTTTTCTTGTTCTGTGGATTGTTTTGGTGATTCTTGATTTGTCCTTTTTCTGTATATTCGCCAAATGGTGTAGACAAGGAAAATGATTGCTAAGACATATAAAATTATGATATAAAAACTGACATGTTGAAAATGAACAGGAACTGTGTCTAGATTGTCTATTTTGTTTTCTTGATCTGCTAAAGCACTTTGGACATTATTTAATTCATCTAATTTTATCGATTCTATTTTGATTGGCTTAAGGTTTGGATCACTGACCGGCGTTTTTATTAATACTTCTAAAGTTGGCAGTTCCATTTTAACAAAATTTGGAGTTTTTAGTTCAAATGTTTTTAAAACGTAATTGTCTATATATATTTCGCACGCACTATTGAGTTCGATCAAGTAACTACCGTTTAATGGAATATTGTCCGAATTCTTATCGCATTTTTGAATACTAATCACTTTGTTTCGCGTTATTACGATCCACTTATTGTTTTCTAGTTTTTGAATTTTTATATTATTAATTTCTATTCGCACTGATTGACATTGATTTACAAACTTTGAGTACTGTATGAGATGAACTTCGCAAGGGGCTGTTGGGGTTACTTCAATTGACTGGACATCGTGGCATAAATATTCTTCTTCTACCAATTTTTGACATTGAACGTTGGCAAGTGCATATTGGTAACGATTGGAAAGTAGGAATTTGGATTTTGGAATAATTGTTCTAAAATGAGTTTGGTATCTGGTCG